AGATAACAGTTACGTAAATGAATAATAATTGTTTATTAATATCTTAAGATTAATTTTTTTACATTATTTCCACAACAAAAAGAGTTTTAAAATTATTCTTCACTACACTTACTCGAATAGTTTTAAGCAAGCAATGGCCTTTGAGAAATGTTCACCCCTAAGAATTGCGTTCGGGTGTAACTATTCAGGCGGGAGGTGTGTTAACTCGAGTAAAAACTGGACTCACCCCACCGCGCTTCCGATACTCCAGACCATCCCTTTCCCCCCTATAGCACTCTGATGTGCTGTAGAGGTACAACTATCAGCCAAATGCTCTTCATGTGAAAGTCCTAGGTAATAGAACCCCAATATGGTTTCCTAACCGAATGCAAAACTCAGGAATGTGCGTTGTCGCTATATTCCTGTTATCTTAAAGTGGCTTATCCGCGAACTAAAATTGCTTACTTGGGACTCAAGTCTCCGCTCTGAGCCCCGGCTCAGTTCGGCGACTTGGAGCACAAGGGGTTGGGCCCTACGTGCCCGGGTTTTGGGTTTTTTTTATTTTTTTTGGTGGCAGAGACCGGTTTTTTTTGTGTTTTTTTTTGTAGGTAGTCCTGAAAGAAAAATCATAATTAGTGCAATATCTGTACTATGACACTGATAATATGTTAAATTTAATATAAAACAATATAATAATATAGAGTTTGTCCTCTTTAAGGCAACAAGGCCCACTTTGTAATTGGCGAATGTCCTTGGATGATTTTGAGCTACGAACTGTCTTCATTGTGCTTTGTTGTTGTTTTTTTTGAATTGTTGTTTCTCTGTTGTTTTGTTTTCTCTCTGGTGTGATTTTTAAATTTTCTCTCTGGTATTTTGTTTTAATTTACTATTTGTTGTTTAGGTCTTTTGTGCTTCCATCTATGGAAAGGGTCATACCTCATTATCTCTTGCAGTATGTGACTGGGGTGGTTCCCTATCTCCGCGAACTTTATCCTAGCTTTTTCTTTCATTGTGTCAGTCACTCTGATTTGTTGCAATTCTCTAAAGAGGAATATTTCCGTATTTTGGTACGTTGACTGCTTCTCTTAGGCTGTTGTTGTGTGCCGCTTATATTTTCTTTTTTGAAGTGCTGTATATGTGTCCCAATGCAAGAGATGCATGCATACTCTCTCGAGAGAGAGTACTCCTCATTACCTCTGCTTTTTCCTCTGTGCTTTAAACTATTCCGTTTTCTCCGGGTAGGGAGGGATTGGCTTTCTGTCGTTTCTCAATATCTTTTGAAGCCTCCAAATATTTTGCATATTTGATCCTTGCTCCTCCATGTCTCTTATTTGGTTTTCCCAGCTTTCACTACGGTGTTGTTGTAGTGCTGTTTTGACCTCTCTGTTTGCTCTATTTTTGTCTGCCTGGTTCCTGTCCTTCTTGCTGTCTGCTTTGCTCTGTTCTCTTCCCTTATCAAGCGTTTTACTACTTGTGGTATGTCCTTAAATCTTCCCGTGTGCATTTCTACTTCCACTCTTCAGCAGTGATGATGTTTTCCAACTCTAGAACTCTGTCTTCTATTTCTCATGGGTTGTCTATCACTGGAACTATGTTTATTCCGGTGCTCACGAGTCTTTTAAAGTTTGTCCACTTTGTTTTCTTTTTGATTCTTTTAATTGTGCTTTCTTCTTCCCACGTTCCTAGTTCTAATAGGATGACCGTTATGCCTTCGTTTAGTGTTTGTAGTTCTGTTTGTAGTCCTAGGTTTCTTGCTACTACAATGTCTATGTGTGTAGGAAGTCCGTTTCCTGGATAATGCGTTGGGTCTGTAGGGCCCATTGCCATAACGTCGTCGTTATTTTCGATATATGTGTTTAGTAGTCTTCCATTTCTGTTTGTAGCTCTGTCGTTCCAGTTTGGGGATCTTGGGAATAGTTTGTCTTCAGTTTTGCTGCTTATAAAGTACAATCTTCCGACCCTGCATTTTAGACCAATCAATTTTCGTCACAACTGTATAGAAGGGTTTGACAGTTAAAATGTGTAGTATGAGATGATACAAAAAGACTCTCGTCTAGGGATACATCAATTTTATGGCCCTTTCCAATATTATGGTTTCGCTTTACTTCTCATTTCAGTATTTAGTATAGGCAACTTATATTATGTACTGAAAACAACTGCTACAAACGTTGGATTTTTGTCGCTAAAAATTAGCTACCTATTCACCCAATATGTCAAAACGACAGAAGGTAAATTAAGTAACACACAATAAAAAAATAACTGAAGAAAGCCACATAGCCTATATTAAAATACCAAGATAATCTTTATATATGTTTAATCTGTGTCTGATTCAGTTTAATAAAGTAATTTTTGTTTCATTTTTTATATGATTTTAAAATTGTCGTTTGCTTCCCAAAATTGACCGAATATGTAAATATTAGGTCGTTTCGATTTAAACTCCTTTTTACAGCTTTGACTGTTTGCTTGTTATTTTTTATTGAGGAAGTTTGTGCGATGCGTATTAACCTAATTCCACAGTTTATGTTGCAATTCATACATATGTTCTTTCCTGTTTCAATAATCTTGTTTTGGTACGAAATCCACCATTTACATTATGGTGATTAAGGGACAAAATGATTACAAATAAAACTCAACAATATGAGTCCAAAGCAACAAATAAATGTTATCTTAAACGTGAAATAGATAGATTCTAATACTATTCAGTATTATATAAATCTTACATAAGGTATTCATCGATCTTGAGAAAGCATATGGGTGGAGTTCCTCGAGAAATTCTCTAAGAAAGGAGTTCTCGGTGAATATGTAAAGATTGTAAGAGACATGGGAGTAGCAACTAGTTTTAGGACAGGTTTGGAAGAAACTAATAATTTTCATGTCAATTTAGGATTTCATCAGGGCTCACTGCTTCGTACTTATTTATTATCATTAGTTTTGGATCAGATAACACCGAAACTACAGGGCAACATTCCCTGGTTCTTAATGTATGCTGATGATGTAGTATTAGTAGGAAATAATGAACGGGATTTAGAACAAAAAATGGAACAGTGGAGATAACCTTTGGTGGAAAAAGTTTCAAATTTAGTAGGATAAAAACAAACTATTTGGACCACTTATGCTCTAATCATCGTAACCTTTGATCTAGACTTTCCATGAATTCATTTTTTGCTGAACTTATCTTTCAATTTTAGTAAAAACTTTTTTAATTTATATAAATGATTTAGCTCTTTCAATTTTTCAATTTAGCTCTTGCCATACTCAGCGTCTACTGTCATGGTTTCTACCTACGCAGTAAGCCAGATATTTATCATCGATAACCCTGTTTGGGCAAGATTAACAATTATATCTCCAAGTTTCCTCCTACATCATTTATCATACATATCTCTAACTATCTTCACATATCAACATTTCATGAACTCTTTCCTGGGTCAATGGTCACCACACAATCTCTATTATATACTTTATGAAGATCATTAGAGTAGATGCTGCATCAACATAAAAATCCATCAAATAAAAATGGCTTTTTGTTTAATAAGTCCAAAGAATAAACTTTGTTCGAAATTTGGATACATTTATTTTGTATCTAACTAATTTAGGTGTTAATGTGCTACGATAATATATATTTTAAAATATGTATTTGTGACAAATGATATCTAAAAACTACACTAATACTTGATTATATACACTGTGTTCATTTGAAAGAACCCACCCTCAATATTGTCGAAATACGACCTATTAGAAAGAAATTTCCAGAAAGGTCTATTTTTTAATTTAGTTTTGAAACAAAAGTATTGGTTATTTAAATAAAAAACAGTTTAAATAAGATGCTCAAATTGAGATTCTCCCACTTTCCCCTCCCTAGATCGATCAGACACCAGTGTATTCCAGTCTTAGTAGCAGATTCATTTAGAATTTTAAACTACTACGTTAGCCTTTTCGTTTTCTGGCCAGGGCCTTAATCATCATTCTCTAGGTCAATGAGAGTGAAGTGAATGCAATTTCCGTTATTATTATTATTCTTATCCAGATTTGATACCATGTCTCACTTATTTTAGATACCTACGATATCAAAAGGATTGAGCTTTGGAGGACTTTCCGTGTTATCGAGCCCTAGGTGTGACCTGATATGCAGGAGTATCTCTCCAACATTCTATCACACATTTGGACGTCAAGGTCAGTACCTCGTTCTGCATGGTCTTATAGAGATGTACACTAAGACCCAGCTGTTTTAGGTTCTTAGATGGAGATTATCCAGATTTAGCCATACGGCTTATACTCCGTCTAAAGGGAAAATTCACTCATGTCAGATAGTTACGATATCAAAAGGATTGAACTCTGGTGGGACTCTTTCCGTGGGCTCTAGGAAGTTTTTGAGGATAACACCAATAGTAGATAGAATTATAGGTACTGTCTGGGTACTTTCCATTCGCCATTGTCTCCTAATTTGTATTTATAGATCTCTGTACTTGGCGATCTTTTCGTTGTACTTAGCACGCAAATTATTGGTGTTAGGTATTGCCACATCAATAAGTGTTGATTGCCTAGGAAGTTTATTAACTAGTATGAGATCCGGTCTATTATGTGCCACTGGTTGGTCTTTCAGCAAAGTGCGGGTACCAGTGTAGCTTTTAGTTGTCATTTTCAAGCATTCTGTCAAGGATGTATTGATAATAAAGAAGATGGTCGGTTTGGAGAAGTCCCAGTTTATCAGCCAGTTCTTGGTGGATAATCTTTCCTACTGAGTCATGGGGGCTGCCGACAAACGCCTGGCAGCCCCCAGTAAGATGTTGGATGGTTTCTTCAGCTTGGCATCCATATCGACATTTGTCATTTTGACTTGAGGATCTTTAACAATATATTTCACGTCATTTTTAGTTGGAATAACCTCATCCTGAATGGCAAGTAGAAAGCCCTCAGTCTCGGGAAACATCTTTTCTAATGTCAACCAATATTTCGACACTATAATAGAGGGAGATTATTTTTATAATAAATAAGTAAATGCAGTAAAATTAATTTATATATTTATTTTCAGGATTCATGGAAAATTCCGTGGATACATTTCTAGCACCTCACGGGAAAAGTGCAAAATTAGTGGCAGACAATCACAAACCCAAAATTGAAAATTGTCAGAACTACAAACCGTCGGTGAAAGAAGAACAGCCGGGTGGAACGTACGTAACAAAGGTAAGTTTATTAAATAGGTATCCCTATGTAAAGGCCAAAATAACATGTAGTCTTATGGGAGCAAGCCAGGGGTACCTGGTCCTCTTAACCCGTTATATTCCGATGGACCCATTTGAGTTTCACTGCGACAGAGTGTTAGTTTACACTGTTTTCTTAGATATAAAGACAAGTAAAATTAAAATTTCATTTGTTAACAGTGCTTATTATAGCCAAACGTGTAGTTGTGAGTGTAAGTTATTGTGTTTTTAACAAATTTTGTCGAGTTTGCTGAAATTGTAGATTACATAAGTTAGGTTTCCTCGTTTTGTATCACCAATATCTCCGAAAAGTTTTTATGGAAGGAAGTATCGTCATTTAGATGCTGCTTTACTAGATGTTGCTTCAGCAACTATTAAACATGAAGTAGACATTGTTATTATACCGACCGATGCTGACCCACAAACCGATGAATAGGACTTCGACGAAAGTGATTAAGAAGGTGTCGAAAATATATTTCTTAGTCGGTGAAATCGAGTTGCAGCATATAAATAGTATAACTTAAGTCATTACGTATGAATACCCCTAATAAGATTAGGTTAAAATAATTTATTCTTTTCAAAAAAATGTCTTGGGTTTTAATGGGTTAAGAAAACACCTATGTATACAAAATATTTAGCTAATTTGAATAAATCGTTGTGCAGAAAATGCGAAATGGAAGAAGATTCCTCCTATGCTATTGCAAGGTGCTAAGTGATGTGAGGCAGTAATTCACTGGTCAACTGAGGATTGAACATTGAACCAAAAGAGATCCCAAAACTACCAATAAGGAAACTGTCGGCCTTCGTTTAGGTTACAGGACTTTACACATACATATTTAGATTATACACATAAGTAATATATATTTAGTCGTTCAGGAGATCACGAGTCTTCGTATATTTATCGATTTCTAAATGTATACCGGTAATGAATACAAGTTAACATACTAAATAAAGTTTCTAGAAAATTGTATAAACAATCAATGACGCAACTTTATCCAATAATAAATAAAGAAAAAATCAAAATAAACTTTTGGCATATTTATTTAATGGTTAAATGTATTAACAACAACAAATCTAAAGTAGATAATATTTCAACCAAAGGTGGGCTCCAAATTTTATATAGGGAGGAGATTTAGAATTGTTAAAATTAGAATTAATCATAAAGCAGCTTTTAACAACAAAGTCGACTTAATGATCTAGTTTATATATTTTTATTTGAGGTTGTCTTTATTTGATTCTTAATTCAGGGACTAAATGAAGCTCGGTATGACCTAGAGCTTTTTCCATTTTCACTAACATTAAACTAAGTTGCATATAACATTTTAATTATTAGGAATGCTTCTTCCATTTTCGGTTTCTGTGGCCTCCTTTACATAGTAGTTCATTTTTACTTACGATTGTCTAATATTCGATTTTATGTGCCATGTTTTACCGTCTTGTTTCCTTATGTCATAGTTCCATTTTAAATTTGGACGTCCAAATTCTATTGGACCAGCTATTGCCGGTTCTTCTCACTTAATGTTCCGTCTACTGCCATTTTAAATTCGGTAGATTACATCAGCGACTTTGGTTTTCTGTCTGATTCATTCTATTCTTATGCGATCTCTGTTTGATATACCTAGCAGGCATAGATTTTTACCTTAGCTTCTGCTTCTCTGTTATATTTGCTAAAGTCTCTGTGTACGGTTTGTCAATGCCTTGGTCAAAGCTTCTATTACTGCCTTGGGATATATCGAATCGAAAACCTTCTCGAAATATATGGTTAATGTTAATAATGTTAATCTAAGGTTAATGCTAGCGGTATTTAATATTTTTTAGCTCTACCCATTAGTTCTCGAAGCGTATGGATATGATCCAGGGTACTGAATGCATTTCGAAAGTCAGCTTGCTCTCTTGGTTGTGCAGCATCTAATTCATTTATTAATCTGTTGTTGATGAGCTTTGTGAATATCTATATGAATTTATACCCATTTTTTAGCTAATAAACACTCTTAATACACTTACCGGCAAAGTTAACGGAACACCTTAACAATGGGTCATGTTAGATGTCTCGACAGTTTGAACTTATATTGGTTTTTTATGCATTTTTTTGGGTTTAATAGCGTGTGTTTTCCCCACGAGCCCTTACAACTGCAGTTATTCGTCTTCTCATACTTCTGATCAGTTGTTGAGGCAGTCTCTCCCATTCCTCAATCAAAGCAATTCTGACTTCCTCTCTATTTTGAATAGCGGGAACCCGTGCCCTAAGTTTTCTGCCTAGCATATCCCACACATGCTCTATCGGGTTTAGGTCTAGGGAATAAGCTAACCAATTCATCGTTGTTATACCCATATGTAATAAGAAATCTCTTACACAGCCTGCGACGTGTGGGCGCGCATTATCCTGCATTGAAATAAAATTTTCGCCAATATATGATGCAAAAGGTACCACATGGTCTTGGAGAATATCTCTGATATACCTATCTGCTGTTAATGCTCCATCATCAATCACCACTAACTCTGTTCTTGCTCCCAAACATATACCGCCCCACACCATAATTGAACCTCCACCATAAGGTACGGTCGTAGTAAAATTGAAAGGGGCATTTCATTCTCCTTGGCGTCGATACAATCTTTCTCTACCGTCGGTGTAATTTACACAGAAACGGCTCTCGTCCGTAAAGAGAATTTGACTCCAGTAGTTATCATTCCAATTTTGATGTACTCGACCAAATTGTAGTCGTGCTAAACGATGATGTCTCTGGAGTCTGGGAGCTTTTATTGGCACATATGACTTGAGACCGGCTTCTTTAAGTCTCCTTCTTACTGTGCGCTCACTTATGATAGTTCCGCGAACATTTTACAACAGGGTTTTGGTTTGAACTGCCGTTTGACGTCTACTACGTAATGTTTGCAACTTTATAAATCGATCATCTACAATCGTGGTTAAACGTTTTCTACCTTGTCCCCTTCTTCTTACATACTCCTCGGTTTGTCTCCAACGACTTACACAACGATGGATGGTTGATAGCAACTTCACTATACGTTCGACCATTTTCGACCATTTTTACAGCCCTAGCAATATCAGTCGGTATTAAATCACCCATTTTTACTTACTCTTTGCAATAAGAACACCACCGATTAGAACAAATCAAAAGAAAAATCACATCCAACAAACTCAAACAAATTAACTTTTCAATTAAATACAAGTTTGTACTTGTTATCAACAGACAGAACGACTGTAAAATGTAAAACACAATACAAATAAACAAATTAATTTGACATTTTGACATTTAAGACACTCTTGTGACAAGGAGCATTCAAAGCTATGTAGATATAGTCTATAAAATACAAATATAAAGAAATATTGCATTAATAACTTGTTAACATACCTAACTTTTTTATTATCATACACAAGCAAATGAATAAAAAAAGAAACTGTAGAAAGCCTGAGGCTATAACTGAGTTTTAATTTTAATATTTTATATATGCTAGAATATTCCACAGGGTGTTCCGAACTTTAAGGGAAAAAAAAAAACAGTATGATTGTTACACCCGGTATAAAATGACATTTACCTGTCTAGCAACAATATTATTACATCGATATGCTTAAATAGTATAACTATAACATACTAAAAAAATCACTCAAATCGAACAACAGGTTTAGGAAATTCGAGGCATCTAACATGTCTCATTTTTAAGGTATTCCGTTAATTTTGCCGGTGAGTGTAGTTGGTATTTTTATAAAATCCGTTTACGTATATTTGTGTAAAAACAGGTCATTCATTATCTAAAATTCAAATTTATGCTAACACAAAGTGAAATGATTCATAAACATCATCAATTATTTAACAATTAAATACAAAAGTGACATACATATTGTTTATGACTGAATAAATCAAGATGTCCCCTTTTTGGGAACATGAGCATGATCCTAGTAAACCAAAATTCAGTACCTATTATCTATAAACGGTTTCATAGCAATTCATAGTGGGACGAAATGTTGATAACACGGCTAAAAGTTTTTTTATAGAGATTTTTGACTATTAAATTGGGAATTTTGGCACTATTGAATTCCGGTCATAGAAACAGACGACTGAATCATTGCAGAGTAGCTCTAACACGTCTCTTCAAGACCACCCAACTGTCGTAACCGACAACTTTGGTCCCGACGGTTGGTGTGTGTGTAGACTTGTTGACTTACAAAAATAGTTTTCACGTTCCCACTGACAAGTTGGCTGGACAAGGGAAGTCGGCTGTCGGGGTCAGCAGCGCACCTAGAATTTTCCTCTGGGCGGGATTTGTGAATAACAGTGTCGGAATAGGGTCCTGTGGGGGGAGGGGGTTAACTCCCCTGGGTGCGCCACTGGTCGGGATGGCGTAGTTGTACAACCAAATTGGTCGGGTACAACTATTTTTGTCGGTTAAGAAGCCTACACACATACACACACCAACTGTGCTTCAAAAAAAAATTGGGACATCTCAAAGACATGCAAAAACCCGGTTTTGGCAGTGATGGAAACATAGATGGACGTTTCTTTGAGAATACTGATAAAAAATTAATTATTTTTATTATTCGTTTTAAATTACAACTGAAACATTTTCAATGCAGCATTTTTAGATTTTCACTTATTGAGATCAAATTTGTATTCAGAAAAGTCAAAAATCTTACAGTACACTGTTATGTCTAATTGTTCTAAAGTTTTATAACTTTCGTTCACCATCTAGGATCTGTCGTATAGAATATTCAAATTTTGATAACATAATTCGTATTCAGCGAGGTCGAAAACCTGTACCGATTCGTGTCGCAATTAATTCAAATTTTAAATTGATCCGCAATATTGGATTCGCCATTTTGAATTTTTAAACTTCAACTTACATTAAATTCGTAATTTACAGTACCTATTTAGGTCCAAATATTCCAAAATATATGAAATTTGGTCCACCATATTGGATAGGCTACTTTGATTTTTTCAATTTTGACATCAAATTCGTAACCATCAA